CTGTTCTATGAAATGTACAAAAGCTCAATAAAACCTTAAAAAATATTTAAGTACACATATTTAAAATACAATAAATATTTGTCTAGGGATATGACAAAAGTAAATTTTTCTCTAGAATCTATGACCGCTCCTCCAGCTATGTTTACAGTACGACCCATGAGTTCCCTCCCATGGAGCAGGCCTTAACTTCAATTCGACTAAATCTAATTGATTCTAAATCAGCCCTCAGTCTCTCCAGAATTAAGGTCAATGATTACTAATGGGACCTAATTAAACTCAAAAGCTGTACCACAAAGGAAATAACCAATCAGATGAAGAGGAAGCCCACAGAGTGGGAGAAAATCATCAGCTGTACATCTTACAGAGGATTAATATCCAGAATATACAAATAACTAAAAAAATCAAGAAAACAAATGACCCAATTAAAAATGGGCTGTGGATCTGAATAAAGATTTATCGAAAGAAAAACTAAAAATGGCTAAAAAATATCTTAAAAGGTGTTCAACATCCTTAGTAATTAGAGAACTGCAAATCAAAACTACTTAAGATTTCTTCTTATAACAGTCATAATGACTAAGATCAAGAAAACAAATGACACCAAATGCTGGCCAAGCAGTGAATCTACTGGGTCTTGTATTGTGAACAGGAAGTGACAAAAGTCCGAACACTTGATTTTAAAGGGTCATTCTTTGATACCTCTAAATTTTTATAAGTGAATGAGTATGTGGCAGTTAGTTAGCATTCATAATCAAGGAGAATCAAGCCAACAGAAGTATCTGCCTCTAATATTGCCTAACTTGAGTGTCTCCCTGGTTATATTTAGGGTGACAAGATATTTGAAGGCTTATACCCACAATTAGTTACCTTGGGTCTTTAAATGGAGGAAAACTAAAGAATCCTCTCTTCTATGATGATATTTTCATCAGAGGTCACTTCTATTCTCCAGTCAAAAGTCAGTTCAGGCTCAAATGCATAAAATCAGTTCTAGAGCAAATGGATACATGTTAGGCGTGTCTTGCTACACCTGGGTAAATTTCCCTTGTCTTGCTCTCTAGAGCTTTATATTTCTCCCTTCTTGCAAGACCCTGAGGAGAGAGACCTTGTCAAATGTAGTGACTTAATTTCACTGACAATATACTGTGACTTTAACAACATTTTTTAAACTTAATATTTGCCTGGTTAAATTGATCCTGTCAGTGCAAGACCCACAACTTATAAATCTTCTGGAGTACATATTAGCCTTACATGTATTATGGAAATTAACCTACTTCTAATGATTGTAAGCTAAGAGCAGTCTTGACTTCCTTGTGGGGTAAATTATTAAAATCTCATTAAACTTTTCCTTTGACCCTTTTTAAAAATTTTTACAATTTGTAAGTAAACATGATAGTGCACAGGGTAAATTCATCGTTTAAAGAAGCAGCATTATAACACAAACAAGACAGTGAAAATTTTTCGGAACTCAGAGAGAGACAGGCTTGGAGATATAGGGCAGAAAGCGTTGGCATTTTCAACTTAGCAAACATGAAACCAGGTACAATGTTTCTAGTTAATTTCTTTCATCTCCTTTTGCCCCAGGAAAGGGAGCTCCAAGGAAGGCAGGAGAAGGTCAATAGGATTCTATAAGATGTAATTCTTTTGGTTTGTCCTGAGTTTTTCTCAATATTTTGGATTAAGTGTCCCATGGGTGGGATACCTGGGAAAATATTTCTATATAACATTTAAAAGTTCACAAATTTCCTTTGATGACATTTTAGTTTCAACCCCTTTAAGTAAATTCATTAATTGCCATGTATGTGTACAAGATTCTGGAGATAAAGAGATCCCTATGGTGAAAGTGTAAATAAGAAAAAGAAAGTGAAAGTTTAAGCATAGCTCTTTGAAGAGCAGGCCTAGTAACGGAAAGAAGCAGAAAGTGAATAAAGAATTATTAACACATGCTGGGGCAATCTATCAAGAACACATTGTGCTTGTTGTCCTATCACTTACCCTGTGGTATGACTGGGAATTTCCCAAAACTCCCTTTTTCCTCAGAACTTTCCCAGGCACCTATCCATGAGAACTGTGGTGTTAGCTAGCAAGGAAAGCCTTTCTTTTATCACACAGTTCCACGTGTAACTGAGACATTCTATATTTCCCTTTTTCTTCAGGATTTACCAGAACAGTGATCTGTGAGTACAGAGTCAAGAAACTCTTCCCTCACACAGGGCACCACAATGCAGTGCTAATACAGCAACAATATAATCACCTGAACAAAAAGGCTGATTCTTAAAGTTTTAAGAGTGGGCCTTATCTCAGAGGACACTCATTCCCCCAGATATCTCTTGGAACTGTCTCTGGAACTCTGTTTCTCAAACACTGTCCCCAAGTCTGGAACCACCCATAATTTTATCCGAAATGCTTTCTTCAGCATCAATTGGGGAAGTACAAGTTTGGATCCATCCTAATCTTAATACACCTTACAGTCATTAAAGTATTCTTTATTAATGTACTTTTATATGTCTGAGTGTCTTGCCTGTATGCACATAAGTGCACCCATGTCATGCAAAGCCTGAAGAGGCCAGAAGAGGGTGCCAAGTCCCTTGGAACTGGAGTTACTGAGGATTGTTAGCCACAATCTGAGTGTTGAGAATTGAACCTGGGTCCTCTGCCAGAGCAGCCAGTGCTCTTAACTGATGAGCCATCTTTCCAGTCCATCCCAATTTCCAGCCTTTTCGTCCTTAGTTCTAGTGTTGTGAGGTTGTCTTACAAGAAAAGACCACTCAGACACAGAAAACTGCCAAAATAAAGTCTTTATAGCTGGCCAGTGACTACACTGGGCATTAGATCCCAAGTGCAGTCCCAAGCCTCTCACAGGGTAAGCTTTTATACAGAAAAAATACATTCTTGTCTTTTCAGGGGTGGAAAGCCCCTCTGCCCCAACAGTGTCACATGGCTCAAGGGTGAAAAACTTCCCAACAGTTTCTTCCTGCAGGTAAAAGTCAAGCAGAGAAAAACAGAAAGTACAGAAGCAAAAAAACAAGCAGTCAGCAAGAGCATCCAGGTACATGTTGACCTGTTACCTCAAACTCATACCTTGGTGCAGCTGGGCCCACACTTTGAACCAACTGTCTCTTGGTTACTCTTGCTGGGAGAAATACAGAGTAGCTATGGTCAGTCCTGAGGCGCCTCATCACACTAGAGTATCTCATTCACCTTTCCAGTCTTCACTGAGTGCAATGGAGTTGGGTGTGCTACTACCTTACATCATTTTAATAAGTTAATTCTCAAGCATACCCACATTCATTCATTGTCTTTTACTACAGAGTATCAAATTGAGGTTCCCAGAGAATAAGATTAATTGCCCAGGTCACAAGACACAAGAGCACATGGGTTTACTAGGGTTAATTAAACGTCTTTAGTCCAGATTATATCCATTCTATAAGTCGTATACCGGTCTATAAGTCATATTCCTATAGGCACATGCCTGCTACATTGATACTTGCATTCATGTTCATTGCAATGCACAATATTCAATATTCACAATAGCAGGGAAATTATATCAGCCTAGATGTCCATCAGTTGATGAATAATTACAGCTGGCACATATATGCAATGGAATATTAGTCAGATGTAAGAAAAATGAAATCATGAAATTTGAAGGTAAATGTATGAAGGAAAAAAGTATACTGAACTAGGCAAACTGAGCCCAGAAAGACATGTTCTCTCTCATGTGAATGCTAATTTTGAATCTTCTGTATGTTTTACTTGGAGTACGTGTGTGTGTGTGTGTGTGTGTGTGTGTGTGTGTGTACGCACAGGTACAGGTACCTCTCCTGAAACTAGAAAGTGAACCAAGAGAAAGTAAAAAGAGAACTTAAGGGAAGGGGGAGGGAAGAAAGAGTGAGGATGAGTGTAATAGAATACAAGTGATATGAAAGCAAAACGTGGAAATTTGGGAGAAGGGGACCAACACTAGGGGTGTCATGGATCAGGGGAGGAGAATGGGGGAAGAAGATTAACAAGAACACAATGACAGAATTCCATACTGAAACCCATTTCTTAATTTTAAATTGCATAATCTTTAAACACCTGAATGTTATAAAAAGAATTATAAATGGCAAATGGTAAGAAATTAAGCCAGGCACAACAAATTGTAGGTATAACTTGTCAACCGTTGGTGTTATATGCCTATAACTTGAAATCTTTATACTAAAATTTGAATTTCAAAAATTATGCTGGCTTGTTGTCAAAAGTACAAGCATTGTAGAAATGGAAGAAAGCCATGTGGTGGGGAATGAACTGTTAAGATGCCCCATACCACATTTGCTTGGCATTCAGAAGTGCCAATTGCCAGTGCTAATTATTGAGACATTCCTTGTATAGTACCTTCCACAAAGAGAAGGGGAGGGCAGATAGATAGAAGCATGGGGAGAGCTGTGAAAAGGCCCCATTGCCACTCACCTGTGTGCAAGTCATAAAATAGATCATTGTATGGACTGAGGGAACAGTCACATGATCAGGAAAGAGAAGTAAAATGTGTGACCCCTCCCCACCTTTCTAGCCAGGAGGCATCCCTTGTGAGACCCTGGTTGTACCAGCTCACATGGATGCTTCTGCAGACCTCCAAGTAAAGCATCTGACTGAGTACAAGGTCTCCAAAGGCTGATTGCTGTAAGTAGCTTGAGTCATTTGTCATGAGGACTAATACACAAAGTAACAACGGAAACAAACCCATCAGATCTGCTTAGGTACAACGAAAGATAAATATGGTGGAAATGGAGGTATATGCAGCCTTTTGACCGTGGCCCCAATGCTCATCGCTGGGATAGGAGAAAAGCTTTCCAGGACACAACATGCAAAGTCACTATTATGAAAATAAAGTCATCTTAACAGGGAAAACACAAGAATAACTGTTCCTGGAGATGGCCAGGCTTCCAACCCAAGTCATAGGCAAGGCCTTGAAAACAAATGATAGAAACAATGTGGATGGAGAGAAAGGGGATATCCAATGGGCCCTTTTAGGACATTTTTCTGAAGAATTCCTTTGGAATCTTGCCCTCAGTCTGGAGGAAAGGAATTAGGGTGTCAGAAAAACTCAGCACCCTGAGTTCCAGCTCCCCCACTATCTGGACTCCACCTTTCTGAATTCCCAGAGACATCCATCTTTTACCATCAATTCCCAGACATCACCTGAAGCATAGTAAAGACCTGAAAAGCTCTGCTGTAGTCACAATCGTTGTCCTCAAGGCACCTGGGGTAGAAGGAAGAGAGGTGACCTCTATTACTACAACAGGATAGATTTCTTTACCAACGCTTAATCTATGCTACTGATTTGCTGGGACACATATCCCAAAATTAGCACGACTGGAATGGTGAAGAAAGACCTGGTAGGAAACAAAATATGTGCCAGCATTCATGCTCAGGAGCATTCAAAGCAGAAACATGTGGGTAATACTTTTGGTCATGCAGAAGAATGATATTGATCAGTCATTTTATATAACTACCTCCATCCTGATGGTAAGCATTGTCCTTGCCGACTAGGAACTACAAGACCTTGTATTTTATCTGTTGGATAAGGGAAGAGGCTTTGGATTTCCATTCATAGGAGTTGGCTAGAATCATTGTGTAATGGGCTGTTTAGTCTGAAATTGTTATATATGTTAGAAGATACAAATTTTACAAGAGTAGAATTCAAGTTTTAGAAAGTGTACCATAATTATGCCCACCAATGACCTTAAGGACTAGAGCCAGGAAAACTATGGCCTTGTTTGTCTCAGGAGAGTCATCCATCCTAGCTTGGTTTTGGGAGTGTGATCCCCTGGACTGTTAAAAAAAATACTGGTGATTATAATTTAAGAATGTGGTTAGGTTGGGCGTGGTGGTACATGCCTTTAATTCCAGTCGTCACAAGTCAGAGACAGTCAGATCTCTGTGAAATCCAAGCCAGCCTGGTCTAGATAGTGAGTTCCAGGATAACTAGGGCTACAGAGAGACCCATTCTCAAAAAAGAACCAGGAAAGAAAAAAAAATCGAATAATGAATAAAAGAATGTGGTGACTGCTCTTTCACAGGACCAAGGTTAGGTACCCAGAACCCACAAAGAGGCTAATAGTAGTCAGTAGCTCCAGTTTCAGGTGATCCAATGCCATCTTCTGGCCTCTGTGGCCATTGCATGCACATGGCAGACATGTACATGCAGACAAAACACTCATACACATAAAATAAAAATGAGGTTTTTTTAAATAAATGAATGTGGTAAAATACAAACAACCACTTGAGAAAGAATCTGATAGTGGAATTGATTATTCTGTTGTATCGACAGTTAATACATATGAATATAAGATTTAACGGGAAAGCCTTTACAAGGACTGAATTATTGTTTGTTCTTTTTAAAGCTCAGTTGAGCTTTGTTTTGTGTAATGTTAACAATCATTTTAATTTTGGGCTGTACTCTCCTCCTGGATGTTAAGGACAAATGTTTGTGTGTCACTCTACATTGTTTGTGTATCAGAATAAATGAGTAAAAGTGGCGGCTTAGATTTTTTTCCTTTCATTTTATTTCTGTATGCTGAAATTATTTACATATCTTAAAAATGGATGTGCGATGTGTGTATTGTATGAATGTGATTATTTTGGGTATATATTTAAAGGCCTAGTAAGTATGTACAGGTAATTACCTTCTTAAAAACTATTAAAATAATATCTTTGAGTCCATGAAATGTTTCATAAAATCTTGAAATACTATTTGTATATAAATAAAACATTCACTGGGTCAAATATAAGTTTCATTAAGGCATAAAAGCGAACATTAGATACAGAGAATTAAGTTCTTAAAGAAATTATAAGTTCATTTCATTTGTGTTATTGTTATTGGTTAATAATAATTCATAATAATAATAATAAATTGCTTTATATCAGTTGGGATACCTCTGGGTAATGTAAATTTTAAATCCTTATCTGACAGACTGTTGCCAGATTCTTTTTCAGAATTATCCTTAATAAGCAAGTGTTAAAAGTAAGATTTTTTTATTATGGCTGTAAATGCAGGTAAAACAATAGATATATGTGTTGTCAAATATGTGTTAGGCTTCCTTTACATGAAGTTTACTGGACATACTATATCAACTAACAATAGCATTCACAATCTAGGCAAACTTACTCTGTGTATAATAGAGATAGCTACATTATTAAATCCTAAGATAATTATAAATGTTACATTTATAAGATAAATTATAACTTATATTTAAACATTAAGAAGTTATTAGTCTGGGGCTGGAGAGATGGCTCAGCAGTTAACAGGCTGCTTTTGCAGAAGACCCAGGATCAATTGCCAGTGCCCATATGGCCACTAACAACCATCCGTAACTCCAGTTCCAGGGGATCCAATGACCTCTTCTGGCTCCACAGGCATTGCATGACACTGGTGCTCTAACATACATACAGGCAAAACACTCCTACACATGAAATCAATATAATAAATAAAATATTTTTTAAAGAAGTTACAGCCTGTCTACCTATGCTGTACCCTTTAAAGATGACATTCTCTTGTATTGGTGTATGTAAGTAATTTAAAAATTAGTATGTTGCTCAAATGTCATCACATTCTACATGAAAAATCCAAAGGAACCCATCATATTAAACAACTAATATAAACAAGTTCATCAAGGTTGCGGGACACAAGAATCAATGTATAGAAATCATTTGCATTTCTGTGTCCTTGCAACAACAACAACAAAAACCCTTCCAAAGTGAATTTATAAAATCAGGTCCATTTATGACAGCATAAAAAAGAGTAAGATACTTCAGAACAAAGGTAACAAAAAAGGACTGGGGAGATGTATTAGTGGATCCAAGCACATCTGAGGTGGTCCTTGGATCTGCACCCTTGTACCATGATATTTAATGTGTTCATGACCCGTGAAAACTTTCTGGAAACATCACCTTGCTCTTCTCTCCCTTCTTGCCTTTTTGGAGCCAGACCACAAGGGAGGCATAGCACAACCCAGTCCCCTCTCTATCTCCTCAATAAACTATCTACTTTCCTGTAAAAAAAAAAGTATGGGGATAGGCAGAATGGAAATTTTGTGTTTGTACTCAGTTTGGGGAGGTGGAAAGGGAAAAAAAATGTGCACACAGTTCATTTTCAAATATTGTGTGATTTTTTTTCTATTGTTATGCCTCTGTTTTCTCAAACCCTCCCAACTACCACCCCCATTCACATGAATATCAGGCACTCACTTCTGAGATGACTCCAGTTTCATGCCAGACTGGGTAGAGAAAGCCCACACAATTTTTCACTGCTCTTGAGAAAGGATGGGTTTGGAGCTGTAACATGATATTTGCAAGGATACAGAAAAAGCCCTCTGGATCTCATCAGGGCCTGAATCCCTAAAAAACAGCTGGTCATTCACGATGCAGAGGCTGGAGGAAAACCAGACCCTGAGACAACTGTACTGTTGTACAATCTCCCACTGCCCCAAACAGGATCCTCTTTAGTCACTGTTACTCAACAACCAGATTCCTTCCATGTGCCTGTTCAATCTGCCTCTAAGAGTCCTTGGTTACTACACAGAGGATCCACCCTCGGAGGGAATGTCTACCAGCTTCATCCGATTTGGAAATTTAATCCTGCATTTAGTCTACACAATAGCCAAATAACCTAGGTTCCATTATTTCCATTTTCAGAGGGAGACTCTGAGTCACAAAGGGGTCAAATAATTTTCCTAGGGTGACAGTTAGGGAGTTTGGGGCCCAGGAAGACAACTGGTATTCCAATTCTGGAGTCCATGCTCTTAACTGCTAGACTAGACTGCTCCTTGGATCTGCCTGTTGACTTTCCACAAGATTGAGAATATCCTCAGAACTGCACCACCACATTTTCACACTGCTGACACCACGCTGGGAAGGAAGTTTCCATCCACAGCACACCACTTACTTGGAACTGCTGCCAAGGCTAGCAATGAAGGTCCGCATGAAGGCACGAGCACATCCTGGAAACCTTCCCTCCACTTCAACGACAAAAAACACTAATGTACCCTTAGAACTGCACATTATTTACCCTTGCACACAACATTCCCCAGGCAGGGTCTTATGCTAAACGGGGCCCAAAAACCAGACAACTGTTGGCTTGGTTTCAGGAGGGTGTGGCAAGAATGGGAAGGGCAATGGCAGGAATAGTACACTCCCAATGATGGGTCCCAAACCACTTGCTGCACCCTGTGAAAAATCATTTCCATTGTCCACATGGTCTCTGTTTCACATCAGCAAAATTAGTCTTATTTTACAAATGGGGAAATTGGGAGGTTACACAGCTGGCCCCAAACTACAGAGTAAGTAACTGGAATGAGAGCCAACAAACCCCACAGCCTGTGTCCTTAATCCATTAGCTGTGAGACAAACAGGCAAAGACCTAGGTCAGTCCAGGATGGTGTGTGGAGGGGATGTGGGCAGGAGAGCTAAGGAAGAAAAGGTACAGATTGAGAGAAGCTGGGAAAGTTCTCAGAGGGTACACATCCAGGGAGGGAGCAGATGATCTGAAGAGGGGATTCTACAGAAACTCACCTTCCTTGAACAGGCCCTTGACAGAAAAGCAGAGCATTGTTTCCTAAAAGGGAAGAGGGCATGAACTCACAATCCTGCTTAACTTTCTTCTCATGTAAAATTGTACCCACAGAAGAGGCAGGTGCTTATTGTCTGGAAACATATGTCCACCTGGAAGGAGCTGAAGGCATGATGACTTTTGGGCAATACACTGAGACAGTCCACAATGTCATGTTTTGTGTACTTCAGCAACTGCCTCTGTACGTCTACCGAGGGGTGAAGAAGCAAGTATCACGCATCAGTCGGTCACACCCTGGCCTCTATAACTGCCTCCTTCACAAGCCTTTACCTTTACTCCACCCAGTCTTCCTCATCACACACTTACAGGAGTCCTTTGTATTTTTCATATCCCCGGTATCCTTGAAGTACTCAGACAAACTGCTCCTAGGAGAAAAGAGAAATGAGAGTTTTTAGTCCAGTTGATGCTGGGATTTCCAGGGGACCATCTATGTCTGCTTGGTGGTAGGGTGAGGGATGGCTTCACACTGCTTCAGAACTGAGCATGAGCTGTGATACTCACAGATCTGGATCACTGGGATTGAAGGAAATGGTCAGGGAGAAGCAGCCCTGGTCACAATAAGCACTGAGGAGACCATGTCGCTCTCCATAGTTGTAGATCAAGTAATACCTGTGGGGTGTGGAGGTGTATTGGGCCGGCTTTCTCTATGGTCCCAGTCCCAAATGAGGCCTGAAAAGCTCTACAGACAGACATGTGCTCAGGTGGCCCAGCCTGGTCCAGCCCTCCCTTTCCTCAAGGTCCCACATGTACCTACTCCTGCAGGAACTGCAGAATTAGATCCTTTATGGGCTCAGAACCTTTAAGATTTTCCTGGAATGAAAAGTCGTCTTAAACTATGTGTCTATTAAAGGCTCACCTGCAGCATCTTACTTCTCTCTTGGTCCTTCTTCCTTACCTTGTAAAGCTTCACTAACTAGGGGGCTTCAATGTCCATTATATTGGCAGGTATTACCTTCTTGCTATCCTGAGGAAAGGAAAAGGAGTTTTGAAAAGCACACCAGGAAGGTGGCACTGGATGCTCACAGACACGAAGAGCCCCAAGGGGAAAACAAGGATCAGAGACCAGGTGTAAAGTGACCAGGACTTTTGTTGGGCTGTGGGATTATAGTGGGGTTCTGAGTTATGGGATGCTCTAAATTTCCTACTATTAAGTGTTTATGTGTTAAAATGTGTGTGTATGTGTGTGTGTGTGGGCACTCATATACATGCACGTGGATGCACACACGTTTGTGTATGTCACATGTGCTGAGTGCATGTTTGTGTGTATACTTAAGGGAGAAAATCCCTGTCTTTTTAATGAACCCATGCTATTTAAAACGAATTATGATCTGAGGTAAATATAAAATCTAGGCAAAATATAATCGGTTTGGGAGCAGCTGTGGTCCAACATATATGAGGAAGAGAAGTCAATGATGAAGGTAAGAACTTACCAGGCATATCAGCTTGAGGAAACAGCTCATGATGGCACTGTCCAAGAACCAGAAGCCTTAAGAAGTTATTGACAGTTCAGGTTTGGACAACCTTACCCCCTCTGCAGTGAGGGCTCCCTATAGTTTCCCTTCCTCTCCTTCCCCCTAAGTAGTTCCACCTATGCTACACTGGGCTGCGACAAGGAGTCACATTGGAGGCCCAGACTTGAGTACTTCCTTCCACTCCCTGTCTTCCTTCTCTTCCCCTAGAATCTACACAGAAGGCTTTATAGAAATCAGGGTATGGGGTGGGGGGCCCAGGGTCTGCCACCTTGCTGCATGTCCAGTATTTTGTAGGATGCTCAGACAGGGTGGTGAAGGAGGCTGCAAGGAGACAGCAGTGATTGTGACAGAAAGGAAGTGAAAGGAGGTTAGTAAGTTATGGAGGACACACAGAGTAGAGACAAAGGAGAAAGAGGAAACAGCACAAAGGAAATGGGAGATGCTCTGTCTAGCCTGGTACTATGAGTCAGGGTTAACAGGGGAGAGAAGGACTCCCCTGCAGAAGTCTTTTCCTTCACCTGTTTTTGGCTGGCCCCAAGACCCAAAGCAGGAATGGAAGGATACACCTTAATGAGTTGGAGCCCACTGAGTACCCCATGCTAGGCTCATTCTGGGCACAGTGAGCCACTCTGGGGGCAAGACCTACTTCCCAGAAACTGAAGAGGTGAAGTGTGATGCCCCAGCTCAGCATGGGATCGAGGACCTGTGGCCATCTCTTTTGGTCACTTTGTTCCCTCCTGAAGATCCCTCTGTACCTGTATCTTTCTGCGTGGGGATCTTCTCCAAGGAATCAATTTACTTGTCTTAGGCTACCCAGAGATCCTCTTATAAAGCTAGGTAGGTTGATGATCAAGGTAAATTGATTGGTAGATAGGTATAGGAAAGAAAGAGAGGAAGGAGGGTTGGTGACATCTGGGGGGCTTGTCTGTCTCTTCAATTCTTCCACACTCTGCTTCCCCTCATGTTTCAGGAATCCCTCTGCTCCCAGGTAATGACCCATGTCTCTACCCTTGCTTACAGGAGCCCCAGCTGAGAGGGCAAGAGCTCTCAGCAATAATCCAGATGAATTGATGTCCATGTCAACATCACTAGGGCCTCAGAGCACAGCTTCAGACAGGACAGCCTCTAGGGCAGTATGGACTGGATGCAAACATTGTTCAAGAACTGGATGAAGGGACTGTTCAAGAACAAGATCAGGAAGCTAATCTCTGGACAAGGGAGGAAGGCTAGTGCCACTTGGATGAGGCATGTGAGGGCCTACTGGAGGGGGTCAAAAGCTTAGATATATGTAACACATCCCATGCTAAGTGAAGGCAAAGGCAAAGGCAGCAGGCAGGACAAAAGGAAAGGAGGCCTGTGAGCACAGCCTCACAGACAGAGAAGAGAAGAGGATAGGGCCTGTGATCCTTCCAGAGTACCAGGGCTGCCTCCTCCCAGAGATGAACACATAGAGTATAGCTCAGGCTATGAGGGCACCATAGTGTCCATGAAGGGGAAGGGGTTTTAGCAGGCATTATGTACCTTACATAGGAAGACTGATCTGGAAAAGTGTTGCATAAGTGATTCCCTTCTAGCCACAGCTCTTCCAGCTTCAGGTTTTTCACTTTCTCCAACTCCCATGCCGTCTTTAGCTGAGAAAGATGAGAGGGAACTGGTAAAGTTGTTGCAGGCAAAGATAGCCATCTGAGGCTCAGGACCAGGACCAAGGGGATTCTACCCCCGCTCAACACCATCATGCACCACCCTGTGCACTTCCGTCTGAAGCTCATCATCTCACCTCACTTTTGGAGAGGTTCAATATCTTGACTTGGGGGGCTTTCTCTACCACATCAAACAGGCCATCCAAGTGGAACAGTTTGTTGTTGCTCAAGTTCAGGGACAACAGCTTTTTAGAGAAAGAATGATTTTTACTACCTAGTGCCTTGGAGACCCATCTGCCCTGCTTTCCATCCCTTCCACCCCTCTACCATGTAAACATAATCATCCCTGGGTCTATGACCTCACCTCAGGGATATCCTCTTGAATGATCTGAAGCGGAGCAACCATGCGGTTTCTTCGATTCAGAATCATTTCGATATTATGATACATTAAGTCTTCAAGAAGTAGAGAGAAAGGAATCAGAAGGTCAAGAGGGGTCTGCCTGGACCAATACCAGCACAGCTTCCTCTTCTGGTTGCTATTCCTGTGACTTCCTCCCAGGCAAACCTATGCTGCCCTATGCTGGGTCAAAGCGGAACTTTCTGAGATCCAGAGCTTGCTTAGAGACATCATATCATTTCCTCATGATAAGCTGCAAAGACAGAGATGGAGAAAGTGATTCTGATGTTCTGAGAGTCATGATGGCAAGAACTTCAGGGAGTAAGAGCAACGAGCGTTGGGTCTGTGAAGTGGGCATTTTTTCTGGAGTGATCCTATTCTGCACAGAGTAGGGTACAGCCAAGGGACTGACAAAGATGGATATCTGTGAAGAAGAGAAGCAGAGTGAGCACCAGGAGCTCTAATCCCAAAGATGATGCCCAGCACCTGGCCTACACACACCTTTGCCTTTACTAGGTATAGGCCCCAGTACATATCTTTTGGCTCTCCTCATTACACATCTTGTAGCTGACATCCTTCAATGCAGAGGCAGTGCTAGCATTCTGAACAAAAAACCGGATCCTACTTTTCTCATAGTGGAACTACAGGCAATGGAAAGTAGAAGTGAGGCATCAGAACCCAGTGGCCCTTGATGAGTCTAGTCTCTGCCTTCATCCCCTGTACCTACTCAGCTGGCTTCACTATCCTCTCTCACATCCACTGGGGTGAAGGGCACACTGCAGAGGCTATGGATTGATTTCACTCACATGGAATCTAAATGTACAGTTAAGGAATGGGAGAGAAGTGAGACACCTTGGAATTAGGATGGAAAACAGACCTATCCCAAGGGCAATTTCCGGACTTTCTAGCTAAGTTTAAAGTACTTCTGAGGGGACCTCTGATATGGCTCTTTGTTTTTGTGTGAAGTGCAGATCTCCTACAGTCAGTCTCTCTCTCTCTCTCTCTCTCTCTCCCTTCCTCCCTTGCTCCCTCCCTCCTTCTCTTCTGTAGTAGCGTTTCTCCAAGTGACTGACTTACCATATTCAATGTGATCTTCCTTCTCTTAAATATCAGAATATTCTATCTTAATATTCTATCTTATGTATACCATATCCAAGACACTGTGACCTTGAACCAGCTCCCTGGGATTCCATCTGGTGTATCCTGCCCTCCTCTCTCTTGAGGTTTTGTATTTTTCCATGTAGTATTATGGATTTGATCTTCTATTTTTCCACATAGTATTATGGATTTGATCTTCTGTACTCTGATTTTCTCTCCTCTTGTGATAGATAGCATAAGTTGTCCTAAGGAAGGGAGAATACCAATAAATACTAAGGAAGTCTTAGGTGCAGCCTCCCCTCACTGCTAAAACAGTTACAACTGGGATCACTCGGCCATGATACCTACTTAGCATTCTTTAGTTTTCCAGAAAGAAGATCGCTGGAAGTGAAAGAGTTGTGCACTTACAGTGACTGCAAATCACTTACCATCTTACTGGGAGGTCCTGGAGAGCATCTCTCATCTCCACATGTCCTCATCATCCTGGAGTTTTGAAGGCAGAAATACACACCCAGGATGCTCATAATGGCCATTCATGTTGTCATTATAGTCTTGGGATCAACTTCTACTTCTCTTTCTTCCTTAAAGAACACTGCCTTCCCAACTGCAGTTTTCTGAAATTGGGAATAGTTCAAATATAAAGACACATTCATAATGGACTTACCCCATATGCTTAACATCAAAGGGCTGGAGAGATAGATGACTCAGTGGTTAAGAATACTGCTATTTTTCCAGAGGACCTGGGTTCAAATTCCAACACCCACTTGGTAGATAACAACTATTCCAGGAGATCTGACACCCTGACTTCTATGAGTATTGCACAGCATGGGTGTACGTACATACATCCATGCGATACACTTATACACATAAAATGAGTAAAATATTTTAACATCACGGCAGGGTAAACAATGTATCAGCCTGCCCCAAGGGACCAATCACACAAGACCCCCCAAGATGAATCCCTCATATGAGACCCTTATCTCCCAAGTGGCACAATCACAGCTGATGGTTTGCAAGAGGAAGCAACCATGTTGACCCCCTTGAAACACGTGGAACAAGATGTATGAAAAACATGAATGTGTGTGCCTGAGATCTTTAGGCTAGGCACAAGACAAACACCAGGGAGCTGACCTAACCTTGCTTTCTCTCTGGATTCTCAAATCTAACTGCCACACCAAGAGCTGGGAGGCAACCTCTCTCAACCCTCAAATCCAATCAGCCACTGAACTGACTCTGTGGACAATCAACAAGCTGTGCACATCTTTGCTGGTGAAGTACAAGGTCATTTGATAGTGGAAACTGAAGCAGTAGGCTGCTAAACTGTTCCTAGAGTTCATGCCTGCCCTGTGCAGTACTTGCCATGAGCTGTCAAGATCATGCCTCCTTTCTGTGCAGCCAAAAATGTTTTCATCCCAGGAGACTACCTTTCCTAAACTAGAATGACTTCCATTAACAAGAGTCTTAAGCACAAACTGATGTATGTTTCTACTACGGTTTCCAAATATATGGAGATTTTCCTGTGATCTGTTATTGATTCCTCTTTTGAGTCCCTTATGGTCAGGGAACATACTCTTGTGTGACTTCTGTCCTTTTCAGTTGGGGGCTGCTCGATGACCTAGCAGATGCTCTATCTTCACAAGCACTAGAAGGCAGTTGAAAAATAAGTGTATGATGCTACTATTGAGCCCCATATTCTATTTATGTCATTAAGATGCTGTGGTGTTTTGAATGAAAATGTCCCTCTTAGGCTCCAAGTATTTGGGCATTTTGTCTCCACTTGGTGACACTGTTTTGTGAGGTCATAGAAGGTGTAGCTATGCTGGAGGAAGCACATCAGTGCGGGTGGGCTTACAGAGTTCTTAAGCCTTGCTCAATCTTGAGTCCCTCTCTTGCTTCCTGCTTGAAGATGTGAGAGCTTAGCTTATGCTCCTCTCTAGTAACTTCTGCTGCCATGCTTCCCCACCATGATGGACTCTTGCCCTTTGGAAATGTAAGCTCAAATAAACTCTTCTGTCTATAAGTTGCTTTGGTCTGTGTTTCTCTGACAGCAATAGAAAAGTAACGAATACAGTAACTGTTACTGTACCATGTGAATCCATTCTTCTATCTTCTTGCTGACTCCTGTGTGGAGTATGGTAGGCCAGTACTCTCACTGTGGAAATAGCTGTTTCTCCCTTCAGCTCTATCAGTATTTCCACTATGTACTCTGAGGCTCTGCAACTGGGTATACACACACACACACACACACACACACACACACACACACACACACACAAACTTGGAATCTTCAAGTGCCCCTTTCAGATGAATCATTTTTATCATGAGGCAAGGCCTCACTTTGCTTCTCATTAGAAATTACTAGTTTCTTGGGCAATGTAACCCACGTTACGTTTACAAAGCTTTTGCATCACTTGCTAATCACACCTATGAGTTGTTTCTGTCATCCCACCAACTTCCCAACTGACCTCTTCTCATAATACTTTCCTCCAACGTATCTGCCTCTCCAGGTGATGGCAAGGCATGGAATGATTATTGTTTTCCGTTTATCTGTTGTGTTATTCTATCTTTTGAATTAATGGTAGTCTCTTTTCTCTGTTCTAAGTACACTATTAAAGGCTTTTTCAATTATCAGTCATTGGAAATCCTGTGCCAGCAGAGGGTGACTTTCTTCCTTGGGAAGTTAGAAGTGGGGTGAACATCAGTGCCAGGAAAAGCCATCTTCCTCTTGCACTCCAAAGTTAAAGGTTCTCCAAGGTTGTGAATTGTACATTCTCTTCACTAATTATTCTATAATTGCATGAGGACAGAATTATGGATAAAAATAGCTCATTTCTGATCAATTCACAATAGACTGATGATGACCACAACTCAGATGAGCTCTTCTGGGGAGGCACTGTGTGACCATTACATCCTGTGAGCCTTTCCCTGTGTGAAAGAGCGGACACTGGGAAGTCAAACTAAATGTGAATAGAACATTTGGGAACTACATTAGTCCTTGCTTGGCTTCAAAAACTGGACCAGGCATGGAGCCCTTTCTGCATTTCACAGGTTACATAGAACTTCTGAGGAAATTCTCATGGCTCCACATTCAAAAGTCATCATAGCTTATCTGCTTCTCACCTCTACCATTTGTATTACCCGGGCCAGGTCATACTGTTTCCTAGATAACTGTGTTTTATCCATTGCAGAAAAATGATTTTCTTTAATGCAGAAATAAAATCTTGTCCATTTTCTGCTCAAAATCCTGTAACAGGGGTTTGAAGCCCACTATAATATGTTAAAAACCTGTGAGTCCGTGATACACAAAACAAGCAACGAAAAGGGCTTGCTAGATGGCATTTGGTCCGTTTCAGGAACCCCAACTCATTTAATGAAAGTTCATATACCAACAGGGGGAAAATCAGATATTTAAGTCAGAGACTGAGTAAAATGTCACATTCCAGAGAAAAAAGCACTTTTCCCATTCCTGGGAACATATAGGAACATGTGTGATCTGTGACTGCATAAAAAGGTGAGAAGCATGGTGGGCCAGAGTAACCAGCAGGAAATGAAAAACCAGGTAAAAATCAAGAAATATTGGTTACATAATGTCTATGTCCAGAGTACAGGATGATTCAGAGCCATTGTGTGAAACTAACACAACTTTTGAAAACACTACCAGTGTGGGAAATGTGTAAATTTGAGCTATCTAATGGCCATGGTTACAGATACAGTCTTAAGCAAACCACAGTATTGGTAATGGCAGAGAACAATGTGCATATGGTGAATAGCCTCAGGCAGATCAAGTGGAAAGGGGTGTTTAGGACAAAATACATAGTGGTGAACATCAACTTACTGATTGCCTGCATGTCAGTCTATCCCTGGCTGGTGATTGTGCTACCAGACTGAAAAGAGATAGATAACAAGAATGCAATAAAGCAGCTAGGGGCTAGAAAGAGTGTTCAGAGATAAAGAGGCTGCTCTTGTAGAGGACCTGAATTCAGTTGTCAGCACCTGCAACAGGCCCCTCACAGCAGCCTGTAACTCCAGGTCCAAGAGTTTCAATGTCCTCTTCTGGCCTCTGAGGGAAGATTCATAGGCATGTGGTGCATATACAGACACATAGGGACATACACATATACACAAATAAAAATACGTTAAATTATTTAAATATTTGATGAAGCAGCTATTCCTCTCAACCTTAGGCTCTGCCATACATTTGTTCTTCTTCCCACACAGAAGGAACAGTGAGCTTCTTTCATGATGCCATGTAGGCTCCTGCTCATCTCATTCTGTAATTCTGCCTACACTACCACCATCTTACTGAAGTAGGTTAAGAATATGGCAAGAATAGGACCATCATTTGCCATGTGGCAACCAGCACTTGCTCAGCCAAGTGCAGACTAATTTCTCTTCATGTCCTCACAGAATTTCCATGAGAACTGCATGCAAGGCCCCCTTTTTAGCTCATGGACATTTGATAATTATCCCAGGGTACTTCTTCCCAGCAAATGGCAGAATCAGCATTTTGGGTCCCATCTATTGATCAGCCTCTCCACCTCTTATCAAGTGTTCTTCTAAGGACTGTACTATTTCTCCTTTAATGGTGATCTTTAAAGTCTCCTGGACAGACTTCTAGTATCAGAACAGGGACAAGGTTTGGGACTAGTAATACCTGTTGAGATTGGAACCAAGTGTCCTGGACCAAGTGAAGAGGACTGCCTTGGGCAAAGATGGAGAAATTTGTTTGGATCATATGAAAATCAGGAGTGACCCTGGGGCTGGTAGTTAGTGGCATATAGTAAAAAATTAATGTGGTCAATGTATGCATGTGATGTAGATCTGGGATCCCCAATGAAACAACTCCTGCAAAGAAATCTGGCCAACCACTTCCACCTATGTTGATTTCTTTTATCCAGACAGGTTTGCAGTACAGCTACACAAATACAATAAGCTACTCCCTGAGAGCTGATGTTCAACCTGCAGATCTGATGAGATACAGAGAGAGAGACAGAGACAGAGACAGAGAGACAGACAGAGACAGGGAGAAAGAGGGAGAAAGAGACAGAGAGACAGAGAAACAGAGACAGACAAATCATGCCAACAGAAATGAGAAGCATTCTCTGGATCTAGTAGATGTGGCTTTCTGGATGTGCATTGCATTTAGAAAAAAGTGACCTTAGTCTGCAGTTGTTTGTGTACAGACACTAGCTCAACCTTTTGATAGACATCAAGAATGATCCTCATCGGGTTAGAGAAATGATTCAGTAGGTAAAAGCACTGGTTGTTCTGGCAGAGGACCTGGGTTCTATTCCCAGCACCCACATGGTGGCTAACACCCATCCTAACTCCAATTCCAGGGAATCCAACAACCTCTTCTGGCATCTGTGGGCATTGCATGACACAGTTGCACTTACATACGTGCAGGCAATACACTCACACACAAAAATAAAAAGTAATAAATACTTCTTAAAAAGAATGATCCTTACCTCGGAAGGAAAGTGAACGGGGGCAGGGGTGAAGAGAGGGGAGTGTGTGCCTAGGGATTTGGTAT